GGTTGGTACAGTGCAGTGGTGAAATGTAAAATTTGTTACTACTGGTTCTGTGTGCGTGGCTTGGTGGGGGGGTAATGTGACTGGGTGGCCGTGGCCAACCTTTTTTTAAAAAACTTTTTTTTTTACTTTTAAAAGCATTTTTTCTACAACCTCTACAACCTTTCTTAAAAGACTCTGACAATCCCAACTGATTTTTCAGCTGAAGAAAAAATGCTTTTAAAAGTAAAAAAAAAAAAAGCCTCTGATGATCCCGCAGCTCAGCTGGGCATGGTGGGGGGGGGGAGGGATTTTTTGCTACCGGTTTTCCGAACCACCTGCCGTCATCGCTACCGGATCGGGTAATCTGGTCTGAACTGGGAGCATTTCACCCCTGGTACAGTGTCTAGCTCTTTCCTTGTGCTGTTTGGTAATTGGCTGTCAACCTGCCTACATATTTGCAGAAGCGGGTAAAGGATCCAATGTTTTGGCAAAATAATAAAAAGAGCATTGTGCTGTGCGCAGCAATCTCTATCCCTTTTATATGTGTATGCAGTGTCACAATAAAAGAAAGGAATAGCAAGCGCCTCATTTACCACCTACACTCACTCTTCTGCAGTGAAACCTGGATAATGGACTTTGATGTTCTAATAAAAAACAAGGTGGATCTAGCTTGCTTAAAATCTGCACAATTAAAAGTACCATTATTAATTGTCTCTGGTCTTCAGGCTGTTTAAATGCTTGAGAAATATTATTCCCTGCTACGAATGTATCTCAGATTGGGAAAAAGCCCAAATAACAAGATGGAGTAAGATAATTTATAACAAATGTTCATTTTTATGAGATAAACAGCTGTGAAATGTTATTTCAGAGTTCCAATCTATTGCAGGCATTGCAACAGCACTGTAAAATAGAAGGGGAAATAAGAAATATGTCTAAGATTTTGGGCTCAGTTGTGGTCGTAAGTCGAGGACTACCTGTATTGGTTTGAGTGGCCAAGAGTCGTCTCTTGTGATCACAGGAGAGCATTTATTATCATAATACCATTAATCATCCCATTATAATATAGGTAGTCCTTGACTTACAATCATAATTGATCCCAACATTTCTGTTCCTAAGTTGTTAAGTGAACTTTGCCCCATTTTACAACCTTACTTGTACAGTTGTTAGGTGAATCACTACAGTTGTTGAGTGAGTAACACAGTTGTTAAGGGATTCTGGCTTCCTCATTGACTTTGCTTGTCAAAAAGTCGCAAAGGTGATCACATGACCTTGGGACAGTGCAACCGTTGTAAATCTCTGTGATTGCCAAGCGCCTGAATTTTGATCCCATGAGCATGGAGATGCTGCAATGGTCATAAGGGTAAAAACGATCATATCACTTTTTTCAGTGCCATTGTAACTTTGAATGGTACCACATGAACTGTTGTAATTCAATCCAATTTATTCCGTAGAAATGCTTCTGATCATCACTTCTGCTTGAAATCCACTAAGACATTTCCCACAAAAGGATCTATTGTCATTGCAAATTCCATCACATTCTATCTTCTATAAGGAAAGGAATTTCCATAGTCCGTGTAATTCTGGTGAAACACAAACATTACATTTTGGGAAATTGAGTTCTAATTCTCTGAATTGCAATCTAGATCTGAACATGGAATCAGATTGGATTATTTCTGGGTAGCCCACTTTTGAAAAATGTCCAGGTTCCAGATCAGGCCCTGAGATAGATTTCCTGCTCTCACTTATTCATAATAAATTGAGGTGGGTTTATGGTTTTTTTCAATTCTAAGAAGATTGGCCATAGAAAACTACTGGCCAATTTGAATATTTGCTAGCCTACTTACCATCTCTGGGATATTTCAATATTTGATGAACAGTGCTGAGAAACTGACAAGTGTGCTGGATCAATTCATGAGTCACCTTATACCTGTTCTAAAAGTCTTGGGCTTGCTGCCAAGTTGTTTATGTAGCTCTCCAAGGCTCTGGAAAGCACTTTCAGAAGACTTTGACTGGCATTTATAAAGCATTCCTTCTGCCACGATTTTAAATGGAACACCGTCCTATGGAGTTCATTCCACATTTTCAATATTGCTAGTTTAATTTTTACTTTATCTTTCATTGTGATCTGCTGAGACAACAGCTGTATAATAACTTTAATAAACAATAATATCTATTATATTAATTTGTCTGCCTACCGGAGATTATGGTTATTTGGGCACTATCATAACAAAAACTGAAGAAATGCTGACCTAGTTTATTGCCCTCTAGTTCTCCACAGCCTAGGGGTAGTTGTTGGGACTGAAAATTACGCAGCTGTCGATTCTCTGGTTCTGCTTCGGGATTTGTTGAAGAGTGAAGAATTTATAGCTGCTAAAAAAGTACTGGTAATTATATATGAAACATTTCTTTTTTTATTTTACATAAAATGTTTATTATATTTTATATACTTATACTATCTATTACATTTTAAAAAAAATTATTTACCATATAGGCATACAGAGAGATGAATATATTTAATCATGCAAAGCCAATGAATGGTTCTTAATGAAAAAGTCAGGTGAAATGAGTCAGTAAAACAGGTCGGTTCCTACATCCATTTTCTTTGTGCTTCATCAAAAAAGCACAACCAAGGAATAACATCAAGTCCAGGGCAGAGGTGGTATTCAGCAGGTTCTGACCAGTTCTGGAGAACCGGTAGCAGAAATTTTGAGTAGTTCGGAGAACCGGTAAATACCACCTCTGACTGGATCCGCCTCCATCTATTCTCTGCCTCCCGAGTCCCAGCTGATTGGGAGGAAACGGGGATTTTGCAGTAACCTTCCCCTGGAGTGGTGTGGGAATGGAGATTTGACAGTATCCTTCCCCTGCCACGCCCACCAAGCCACACCCACAGAACCAGTAGGACAAAGTTTTGAATCCCACCACTGGTCCAGGGTGTGCATTGAAAGGAATAAAAGGAGTGTTAAATAGACTAATCAAATCAAATAAACCCCTCAAACTTAGTCAAATTTCATTAAAAGCTGGTCAGGTATAAAGCTTGCCTCCTTCAAGTTTCTAAGAAAACATTCTGAGTTGATTGCTCAATGTTTGAAAATCACGCTGTTTGAAAATGATATAACTTCTAATCGTGTTAACTGAAATTGGGGCAGAAATCTGGGCTTTCTTTCAAATCAAAATCTATAAATACATTATCCAATTATTTAAAGTGAGCTGCCTGAGATGAGTAAGCTTGTTTCGGTTAAGGTAACCTATATTTTGTTCACTCACTACTTATAGCTGAATTTCTAATTATTCAGTATTATTTCTGTCCAATGAAATAACATGAACATCTATTTTTCTGCAATTTTGCATGATAAAACAATGTCAGCTTTTCAAGCTCTGATAGAAAACTTTCCTGTAGATAAAGTTGTAAAATATAGTTAGGGTATTATGACGCCTAAAAGACAAAATAGATTCTACAATAAGAATTACTGAAGAAATAAAAAACCCTTTAGCTACACCCCTGATCCACTTCTCAGCCAAATTTACTACTGAGTAAAGACACATTAACACAATTTTACTAGGCTTACATATAATTTCATTTTATTCAAGCCAAAGATGAAAAATTGTAAGAGACAACTGGTGGTGGTGTTTATTAAGACCTAACATTTCAAAAGCAGTCTGAATTTTTCATGCTCTTATTTCTCATGATGAAATGTCTGGTATTTCTATTAAAATTATAATTAATTCCAACTTTGCATCCATATGTATATTTGACATGTACTGCTTTATATTAAGTTTTTTAAAAATAGTGATTCTATTAAAGATTACAATTTACAACGATAAAGCTAATACAAATTAAAAAGAAATAAAAAGAAATGATTGGTGCAGAAGAGAAAAAAATCAGAAAAGAAAAAAATGAAAAATAAAAATATAGTAAAGAAAAAGAAATATATAAAGAAGTGACTTCTTCTTCATCACAAGTATAAACAATTTTAGTACCTTATCACCTTCTCTTTACTATCTCTCATTTTTTTTCCCCATATTCCATCTCTTATCTATAAACAAATCAACAAAACCTCATCATTTTAGTCCAAATGTCAGCAAAAGTCTGTTATGGCCTACCAAAGATATATCTGTTTTAACCTTGATCAAATAAACCAATTGCATAGTCTTTCTTTTATTTCTAACAATCTTGATCTTTAATTCCTTCAAATAATGTTCTAGAACTTTCTTTTCATTTGTTCTATGTCCCTTCTCACAAAATTCTTCAGACTGATAATAAGCCTATTTGTATATCCAATTAAGAAAAGATATCAGGGTTACTGTCTTGGTTTGTTTTTTGTATGTCTTTTTTTAATTATTAAGATATCTCCCAGTTTCTTTTGTATGTCCAGTATAACATTTTTCGCTCTGGCAGCGGCAGCAAGTCCTGGTTTCGTCTGCACGCCCCCATTCCATCCGGATTCTTCCCAGCAGCAACCTCATTCCCTGCCCTACTCCCGGTGCTCACCGGCCCCGAGATCGACTGCCTACCTATAGTGCCACCACCACCGATCATGTGCGTATCTATATCTCCTAATGTGTTTCTCCCCACTCCTCCATCCCGGCCCTGTATTGTCGAGCAGGGTTTTGGGCTCGACATTAGCAGTTTCACAGGAGACAAAATTTTAGTAGTGAGTCTTTCTATACACCTAAACAGCATCTTCACTTTGATAGTGCCAACAATGTGGGAAAGCAACTGTGGTGCCTATGAGAATTGATGTCCCAGACTACATAACATCAGGAAATAGTGTACTGTATAATATAAGATTCATTATATTTTTCCATACGGAAAACCATTTATAGGATCTTAAATTACCATAATACTTGTTCACTCAGCATTAAGTGTATTAGACAAGACGGGCGGGACATAAATCTAATAAATAAATAAAGTAAATAATATTTATTGCTTGAAATTTAACCTGGAAACCCCAAACAAATTCTACTGTGACACAGTGGAAGTGGCTCAACAATTATGGTTCTGCATGAATGATAAAAAGAAAAGAAGGGATGGGAAATAGATTTATTTTCTTTCTTCATGGTCAATATAAAGAAAAGCCCATTTTCAGATTAATACCAGAAATCTGATATGCCGAATGGCCACTCAAGATCAATGTGGGTGGTTGTTTATACAAGTTGTTATGTGCTCCCAATTATACCACAGACAGCTTCTGTTCTGCTATAAATTCAAGGTATTTATTGCAGTCTTAAATCTTTAACTGAAGTTGCATAAAAGCACACTGAAGATTTAAAGCTTCCTGTTTCAGTGTAGACAGGACAGCTTACTTGTCCAAGAGTCCAGAGGAATAAATCATATGTTCAGGGAAGGCCCAAGAGCAGTCAATGTCCAGTTTACAGGTGAGCCAGTAAATCAACTCAGCATGCAAAGAGAGCTTCAGGAAAGAGGACATAATTTGCCACAAGAAGCGAGTCAATCGTTTGTCCCCTTTTGACTGCCAGATATCTACCGTAATTTCCTAGGTCTATTTCTTTCTTTTGAGTTGTCAGGTTAACTTTCCTTCCTTTACCCTTTGTGGTTTGTGATGTGTCAGCTGGTGTAGGACCTTCAGTTTAGGCTCTGAGTCAGTTGGTTAAGATGCTCCCTAAACCCAATCTGTTATCATTGCCATTTTATTCATTTAATTATCAAATTTATTTGCTGCCATCTTACGGTTCAAGGTGACTCTGAGTGATTGGCATCACTGCTCGTCTCCCTCAACTTCATCACCATCTCCAGCACTGTTCTTTTGACTGCATTCTTTGTCTTCCATGCCACTGCTACTTCCCCAGGTACTGTGGCACACACAAAAAATGGCACTTTAGTGTTTCTTATTACATGTGTAGGGACAAGCCTCACTCCTCAAAATGTTGCTCCTTGTTTGGGTTTCCCCTGAAGGTGGAACACCTGCTGTGGTCCTTATGAATCCAGTTTACTAACCTGATTTCAGATATTGCTGCCCCTCCTTCCTTCCATGCATTTCTTCTCATTCTTTCTAATGCCGGCTGTTTCTATGAAGTAAGAAATGTGAAATCCATTGGCTTAACTTAATTTGTTGAAAGGCTGTATATGATTCCAATGAATAATAAGATTCAGACATAATATATTTCATGGTCAATGCAAAGGGCGAAGAAGAGTGGCTGACTCTTTTTTTTTTTTTGCTAGCTTCGTAGTTCATTTATTCACAACCATCAAAGTTTGATTAAAAATGCTGGCCACACTGTTTTCACAGAAGAACACCATTTTATTCTTTTTTTTGATATCCTCAGGACCGTGATTAAATACAGCTTATATACGTAAAATTGACTGTATCTCTTTCCCCCATGAAACAAAGAAGCACAAGTATATTAATCGCCAGAAAATATGTTGAATGTACACTATTTACCTGCTTTGAGCACAGAAACTTTGAATGCAGCTATGAAGGCTAAACTGTTACCAGAATATAGTAATTGAAAAAATGGATTCTGATCAGGGTTGATCGATTGATCTATCAAATGTATATAGCTGCCCAGCTCACCAAAGGCATCTCTGGTTGAAGCAAAGAAGAAATGGATAAAACCACACATATAATCCACAATGATAAAAATACAAAAAAGTAGTATTAAAAGTAAATACTATAAAAACAGATACAAATCCTAGGTGAAGAGAGAACCTGTGCCTGTGCCATGAAGGGTTACAAAGGTCAAACCAGCACCTTGAGTTGGACTCAGAGGAAAACTGTCAATCAATGCAACTTGTAAAGCAGTATTGTCACATGCGCTGTTTTAGGAACCGACATTAACTGCCTACACGACTGCATTCTGTACCAGTTGAAGCTTCCAGATACTCTTCTAGGGCATGTCCATGTAGAGTGCATTGCAATAGTACAATCTGGAAGTGACTAGGACTGTGAACTGGGCCTACTGATCCAGTAACAGGAGCAACTGTTACACAACATGAAGCTATACAAAGGCTCTCCTAGCCACGACTGTCATCTGCTCATCAAGCAGAAATTGTGAGTCTGGGAGGACTCCCAGATTATGTATAGGATCTGTTTGGGGTAGTAAAACCGCAGCAACAAAAATTGTAGTCTTGGACCCAGTGAGCCCTAAAATTCAGATTTTCTTTTAACCTCCACACCACCCAATTAGAGGAACAATGAAACAATTACTGAAACATTTAGGGTCATCAGCTTCAGCTGATAGATATGAAAGTTCTGTTATCTCAGCTGTGGAGGTATTTATGGACATTTCAGCTGCTCAGAAGTTCAAAGATCACCTCATGAAGTCTACAGTAGTATTAGAAAGACATGACAAACATCTCCCACGCTCATTTTAACAGACATTTTCACTTGTACTCTTCTAATATAATCGCACTGAATTATTCTGTGAGATATACAGTCACTTATTGTTAGGAACATGTTCACTAATTGCACACATGCATTCTTACAGATATATATTACAGAATAGTAATTCTTGCATGATTAGATTTCCAATTAACTTGCTAAGTCTGCTCTTGTTTCATCATCTTGATGAGTGTTCACAGCTCTAATAATGATTGGACACTGTCTGAGTAACTAATGAGCAAATAAATCTCTAAGAATAATTTGGTAACCAGAGATTAAAGGTTGGTTTCTAGGTGTCACAAGTACTAAACATCACCATGGTCTTAACAGCTTCTATTTGGAAGTTAGTCCCACTGATATCAATGGGATTTGCCTCATAGTAAGCAGGAAATAGCCAGTAATGGACATACCGGTATGTTCTATGTGAAAAATGCCAAGGGACAGTTTCTTGGGTCTAATATCTGTTGGAAAGACTAAAGATTATATCTTATGTTATTTAGTAACATTTAGGCTTATTAACAAATAAAGGCACTGATTTTTTTTTTTCCAGCTAATGCTTTTCCTGAGTTGCCCTGATCTTTTTTCACTGGTTCATAGCCTCTCCTCTTACTAGTATATATCTATATGGAAAATGTATTTGGGATCGTAAGATATAATGTCATTTGTTTGGTTATGACTTAGCACTGAAATCACAGTTTATGGTTTAGCACTGTATAACCCCAGCCACTGGGCTGTACTCATGAAACCACAGTTAAAGCAATGTTTGAAGTCAGCCACAGTAGAATTATCTCCCATTTTTTTCTTTGTCGTTCAGGTTCTTTATCTGCAATTTTCTTAGGAAGAGACATGGCTGACAATTTAGCAGCTGTTTCCAAAGTCCATATTAAGCCCATTAATTCTCTCTACAGTATTAATTCTCTCTAAAGCAGGGGTGCCAAACTCATGTTGTCACGGCAGCGTCACATGACATATCAGGACTTTTTTCCTCTTCGCTAAACCGGGCCAATGCGTGATGCATTTGGCTCGCAGGCTGGGAGTTTAACAGCCCTGCTCTAAAGTACTAAAGTAAAATTTAAAATAAGAATGCCTGAAGATGCTGAACAATAGTTAATTGCTGTAATATTTTAGTTAAAGAAGCCACAAGATGAAAATTTCCAGTTTCATAAAACCATTCAAATCAACTTTCCATCACTACTGTTAGTTAACTATTATGCATTGTGTGAAATCACTCTATTATTGTCATTTGTTCACTAACATGGTTAAAGAAAAATGGTTGAAAATTAAGTTGTGTTTGAAAAAAAAAAGCTGCTAAGAAATTTCCCCAAGGGCCAAAAAAGAACCTTTGAGTTGTGGCATTATGTTCTGGAGGCCAACGTGAGATTAGTTTGAACAAAACTTCTAGACCTTTAGTTACATTTCTTAGGCACGTAACTGATTGTAATTGGTTTGTTGGCTTTTTTGTAAACCTCAGAAATAGCTTTTCTGCATGTTTACTGATTTACTGCTACTCTGTCATTTCAAAACTTAAGTACAAAACTAAGAACTGATCTGAGTAAATGGGTTGCAGACAGATTTCAAGTTTGTTTGACAGCAGAAATCAAATGATTGATTTAAAAATCCCGACTTTCAGGAAGTAGATTTGTTTCGGTATACTTAAGTTGTCAAGAAACAAAGAAGTTACCTTGGCAAAAATATCCAAAGATATTTGTGGACTAAAGAAAAGAATTATCCTTTGTAGTTTGAGCTGCATAGAATTTCTGCTGTCTTCAAACCATTGAAACTACTGAAACTACAAACTGCTGAAATATTCAGGGCAGATTACAGATCACTTAAGGCTGTATCGGAATTTTGATTCACAGCTTTTCCTGAACATTTTGCATAGAGTTCTATTCAGTTTTCTCATGCTATGCTGATTCTCTAACCTCAGGTACTTAGCCTCATAGGCTTCTGTACGCCAAAAGTATTAAGAAAGCAGTTATTGCAAATGAATTTCACCCATATTTTTGGGTGTTCTTTGCAGTAATTTTCCTGTTTCGTTGGTGTATAGAAAAATGAAATTAAGAAGGAAATAATTCTAGGGAAAGGTTTGTTGTAAAAAAAAATAAATCAGAAAATATTTTCCCGAATCCAAAGGATAAAAAATAAAACACCGGTGTGCACAAAAAGTAAATTGGATGAATCCATTAGAACTAAAATAAATGAAGTAGCAAGACTCTCACTCTGTTAAACTATAGTCATTTCCAAGATTGCTTTCTACTCCCCTGAAAACAGCTCCAGACAGCATGAATTCATGACGTTGTCTCTATTTGGCAAATCATCTGATTTATTTCAGACTCAGATGAAATATTTTTGAAACTGCAATCAGACTCACCCTTTCTTAGGAACTGTGAAGCTTATGCGGTGGTGGAAGAAAGGTATGACTATAAATCTAACAAATCCATTTCACTTCTATATCTGGTGCAGATGAACCACTTGGGGTTGGTCTTGTTTCTCTGTTCTCTAAGTAAAGGAAATATAGTATCTGGCTGCAATAGGGAGTAAACATAAAACCACTTTGGGAATAAAGCTGAGCTGTGAAAAAAGAATTGCATATGGCAAACTGACACCATCTGGTGAAAAGGCTGGAGCAGTGGGGAGTTAAGTTTTTTCTTCCAACACTTTACTACAAGGAGAAGGATTTCACAGCCGCCTATCCTTAGGATAGTAGTCAGACCAGATTGTTATTTTTAAGATATAGACCACACCTCAGCCAAAATACTTAATCACAAGACACTACTAAACTGCAAGTTGCTTTTAAACGCTCCAGAGTTTGTTCTAAACAGTGTCCTGAACACTGTTGTGGGAACAATTAATGAAGCAGTGATACAATTTCTATGCCTTTGTTCAATTATATAAAGAATACTATTGGTATTAGCTAAAATATTAGAGCAGAGGTGGGTTTCAGCAAGTTCTGACCAGTTCTGGAGAACCGGTAGTGGAAATTTTGAGTAGTTCAGAGAACCGGTAGTAAAAATTCTGACTGGCCCCGCCCCCATCTATTCTCTGTCTCCCAAGTCCCAGCTGATTGGGAGGAAATGGGGATTTTGCAGTAACCTTCCCCTGCCACATCCACCAAGCCATGCCATGCCACGCCCACCAAGCCACGCCCACAGAACCGGTAGTAAAAAAAATTGAGACCCACCACTGTATTGGAGATTAAGTAAGTATAGTAAATGTGGTTCTGTTTATATGTTATTACAGTTGGAGGTTAAGAGATGACTAACTTAAACACCATTGTCTGAAAAAACTACCAAGACTTTAATCCTGCAAATTATCTGAATAAATCATATTGCACTTCCAGTATGTCTCAATCCATCTCTTGTCTAAATTCTGATCAGCCAAGAATTTAAGAACTCACATTACAGGTAGTCCTTGACTTATGACCACAATTGAGCCCAAAATTTATATTGCTAAGTGAGACATTTGTTATGTGAGTTTTGCTCCATTTTACAACCTTTCTTGTCACAGTTCTTGTGACAAGTATCACTGAAGCTGTTAATTTAGTAACGTGGTTGTTAAGTGAATCTGGCTTTCCCATTAACTTGGCTTAGTTAGAAGGTCAGAAAAGGTGATCACATGACCCTGGGACATTGCAAATGTCATAAATATGAGTCAGTTGCCATAGGTCTGAATTTTGATCATGTGACCATGGGGCTGCTGCAATGGTCATAAGTGTGAAAAATGGTCATAAATCCCTTTTCTCAGTGCTGTTGTAACTTCGAGCAGTCACTAAATGAACTGTTATAAGTTGAGGACTACCTGTACACACATGGCAAAAAAAGAGGAAACTAACAATAGCTTGAAAACCTTTGTCAGCAGGGTGTTTTCTCTACCAGAAGAATAGCATTTTGAAAGGTCAGCTAGTTATGAATAAATACCTGATTTTTAAAAATAGCAAACATAATACAGGATCTCTATTTTTGAGTCAATTATAACTTACTGTTTGGCGAAGATACATAAAAGCCAGTGTGTGTGCACTACTACTTTAAAAAGAAACAGGATTTGACTTGAGAATGTAAAAGAAAAAATGCTTGCTGGCAGAGGTCCAAGCTTAGTCAACTGTTCTGTGTGAAATACTTTTCTGCAGATATGTTTAAGCTGTACAAACTGCCAGATTTTGCAGCTGAATATTATCCTGACTTGCTCAATCTTGTCTTCTCCATAAATCAAAAATAATTAAATGCAGATGAAACACAAGTGATGTTTCTGAATTTGCATAGTGTTCTGTTACATAATAGAGTTATCCAGAATGATTTGTCCTGTCTGAAAGATTTGATTTCAGAATTTGCAGTGGGCACATAACTCCCCCGCACTTATTTGCACAAACTCCCCAGTTAAGCTCAGCATCATATACAGATCAAGTTGGGAAATTCTTGAACTACAATTTCTAGAATAAGACCAGTTAAGTGTACCCTATTTAATAGTAATTAGTATTATTGGTTTTCAATCTGGGTATATGCAATGATAGTGCTTAATTAAATCAGTATAAATTAATTACTTCAAAATAAGGATGTGATAATACCTTAAGAGTATTTTGTCTCATATGTGGTTGTGCCTGGCTAGTCTTGGAACCTAAGCAGAGCCAGGGTAGAAGACCAAAACTATAGATCAGAGTGAAAAGTATCCCAGAAAAGGGCATGGCATATGCACATTTGCAAGAAATCTACACACAGAAGGTGTGTCCACAGAGTCATCAGACGCTGTGTTTGACTTGAGGATGCCTCTATCTGCTAAGAAAATATTAATCTTAAAAGCATATTTGAAAGAGCTTTCACATACAGTACAAAACAATGTCCCCCAACCTTTTGGGCACCAGGGATCAGTTCCATGGAGAGAGGTTTTTCCGCGGATGGGGGGGGAGCACGTGGTTTTGGATGCTGCCTCCTGCATCCCGCAAATGGGGCTTTGCTTGTTTGCGTGGCCCAGTTTCTGGCATGCCACAGCCCGTGTCGGTTCACAGACCGGGATTTGGGGACCCCTGGTATAAAATACAATCTTTTAGATGTACAGTACATTTATATAATTTTTGAACAATTGTGGAGCAATGGATGTTACTGGAAAGAAATCTCACTGGCCTTGATTACACATCAGTAAAGACAGGATTCTTAAATACTATTTTACTGAACAAGCGAGCTTGCTTCACACAGAATGCTAAACCAGAATGGATAGAATGGATGTAAAATGCTGATCTGGGAAGAAATTATTGTTTTGGGTTTGCTTTGGATTAAATTTAAAAGAGCTGTTAAGGCAGATGGACTTTATGGTATAATCCAGTTGATTTAAGTAAAAATTGTGCAAACATGAGAGTAATAGGTAGAACCTGTGAGAATTAAATTTTCAGGCATTGCTACTAGCTACTTCAAAAGAGTGGTGCTCTTTGGACAAGATCCCAGTTAATTGTTTAGCTATGAGCAGTTCTTGCACCACCAACAGAATGATTTACAGTGCAATTTCCTGCATGCTGAATGAATGTGTGTTTTCATTTACTCAGATGTATATAAATATTTGTATGTGTTTTGGAAATACACTTGTGTGCAAGAGTGCAAGTGGTCAGTCTACAGCAGTCAACTCCCAAAAGTGGAATCTGTCAACCTTTCTCTGTTATATAGAAATATTGCTCTAAAACAGAGCTTCTTGTCAAAAAGAAATCAGATCAAGAATATATTCTGAACTGTTATTAAAAATGTGCATTAGATATGTAATGCATAATTTTATTTATAATTACGTGCTTATTTATAATTATCCACACTTTTCAAGATTTGCAAATCTTTTTAAAGTAACCGGTTCTCTAGAATTAAGACTTTAAAGGATTTTGTAGTATTGTCTGATTTTAATTGTTAATTTACTTTTTTAAAACAATGCTTATTACATTTTTGTGGTCCCAAATTCTTATTTTATGGCCATCCAAAAGAGCACATAGGACTTTAATATTGTTTTCAATTATCTGGGAGTAAACCTCATTACGTTTGCTAAATATTACTTCTGCAAAGGCACTAATTAAATTTCCTATCCGTCTCCACATTTTGCTAAGCTACCAACTATTTTAGCCAGCACAATTTAGCAAAATGTGAATTGTCACATCTGGTCTACACAGGGTTTGGGTTTTTTTAAAAAAAAATCTTTATTTTTTGGGGGTGGGGAGGGAATTAGTGTTCTTCAGTCAGTGTTGATTCTAGGCAATTGCCCAGACAAGTCCCTGCAGTTTCCTTGGCAAGATTTTTCGGAAGTGGTTTGCCACTGCTGCTTCTGTGGCTAAGAGAGCGGGTTTGATCCAGGTTTCTCAGCTGTCTTTAAAACTCAAGTCTCCCAGTTTCTAGCCTGATGCCTGAACCACTACACTAAACTGATTTTCTTTCTACGATTGTCAGAGATTAATATTGTTGTCGTTGTTCAGTGATTAAGTTGTGTCTGACTCTTTGTGGCCCAATAAACCATAGTATGCTAGGCTCCCCTCTCCTCCAAATTCATGTTCATTTCATCGATGACACCATCTAGCCATCTCATCCTCTACTGTCCCTTCTCCTTTTGCCTTCAATCCTTCCCAACATCTGGGTCTTTTCCAATGAGTCCTCTCTCCTCATTTGATGGCCGAAGTATTTGAACTTCAGCTCCAGTATCTGTCCTTCCAAAGGACAGTCAGGATTGATTTTCTTTACAATAGACTGATTTGATCTCTTTGCAGTCCAAGGGACTCTCAAGAGTCTTCCCCAACACCACAATTCAAAAGCATCAATTCTTCAGCGCTCAGCCTCCCATATGGTCCAGCTCTCACAGCCATACATTACTGCCGGGAAAACCATAGCAGATTCATGTAATACTAATTTTTGTTTTATTAAAATTAAATTTAGCTCTGCTCAAATTCTGCAGATTCGGATCCCTTCAGGCACAAGACAATCTAATGCATTATTATTGAAAGTATCTTTTTTATTATTGTATGGCTCTGGCTAAACAGCTATTGATGGGAAAGGCTCTCCATCTTTTCTCTGATGTCAAAAGAGAAGAAAAACTCTAGAAAACCTAGCTTGTGCTTGGCTGTGTCATGTACACATTGCCTAAGAGAATATGAATGCATCATATTTGCACACATTCGTTTATATCATAGGTGTCAAACTCACAGTATCACATTGTCGTCACATGACATTTTGCGATATTTTTCCCCCTTCGCGGAGCTTGGGTGGGTGTGGCCTGCATGTGATGCATCTGGCCCATGGGCCACCAGTTTGACATCCCTGGTTTATATCAATATTATAATTTAAATAGGTAACCTACAGAACCACCTTCGTCCCATTATATCAGCCTGTATCACTTGTTCAGGCAGGGAGGGTATGCTACAGAATTTTGATTGGTGGGGTCTAGGAAGAAAGCCTTCTCTGCCACTGCCCCTGCATTGTAGGACATCCTGCCCTCAGAGATGAGGCAGGTCCCCACTCTCTTGGACGTCCGCAAAGGGGTCAAAATTTGGTTGTGCGGCCTTGCATGGAGAACACAGAGGCCCATACAACCATGGAGCTGGCTGGCTCCATGAGAACTTCCCTGCCTAACCCTTGACTTCTGACCACAATTGAACCCATTATTTCTCCTGCTAAATGAGACAAGTGAGTTTTGCCCCATTTTACAACCTTTCTTGCCACAAATGTTAAGTGAATCACTGCAGTTGTTAAGTTAGTAATATGATTGTTAAGTAAATCTGGCTTCCCCATTGACTTTGCTTGTCAGAAGGTCCCAAAAGATGAACCCAGAACACATGAACACGGAACACTGCAACTGTCATAAATATGAGTCAGTTGCCAAGCGTCTGAATTTGGATCACATGACTATGGGGATGCTGCAACGGCCATAAGTGTCAAAACCGCTCATAAGTCACTTATTTCAATGCTGTGGTAACTTTGGTCACTAAATGAACTGTTCTAAATGGAGGACTACATGTACACACATGGCAAAAAAAAAAAAAAAAGGAAACTACCAATAGGTTGAAAACCTTTGTTTAGCAGAGTGTTTTTTTCTACCAGAAGAAAAACATTTTTAAAGGTCAGTTATTTATGAATAAATACCTGATTTTTAAAAATAGCAAACATAATACAGGATCTCTATTTTTGAGTCAATTATAACTTACTGTTTGGCGAAGATACATAAAAGCCAGTGTGTGTGCACTACTACTTTAAAAAGAAACAGGATTTGACTTGAGAATGTAAAAGAAAAAATGCTTGCTGGCAGAGGTCCAAGCTTAGTCAACTGTTCTGTGTGAAATACTTTTCTGCAGATATGTTTAAGCTGTACAAACTGCAACGGTCATAAATGTGAAAAACGCTCATAAGTCACTGATTTCAATGCTGTGGTAACTTCGATGGTCTAAATGAACTGTTATAAGTCAAGAACTACCTGTACTCATAGTAAGTTCAAAAGCACTGTCCAAGGATTTCAAGGTGGCCATTTGAAAGTTGGCAGATTTTGGCTTTATGTTTTTCCTGTGGGAAGCAACAGCTACTCTGAATCTTTTTATGGGTTTAAACAGTACTTACTGTTCATTTACTGCATCTTTTATTCAGGGATGAAATCCAGCAGATTCTGACAGGTTCTGGAGAACAAATAGCAGAAATTTTGAGCAGTTCGGAGAACCGGCAAATATCCTCTCTCGCTGGTCCCAGAGTGGGGTGGGAATGGAGATTTTGCAATATCCTTCACCTGCCACACCCACCAAGCCACACCTTCCAAACCACACCATGCCCACCAAGTCACGCCCACAGAACCGGTAATAAAAAAATTTGGATTTCACCACTGCTTTTATTGTATTCTAATCTAATAAAGCAGAAATCGCACTCCATGCAGAAGAATTGAACTTTCCACAAGCAGGAATCTGTGACCAAGAATCTATGCCATTTCCTTTCTTTGAGAGAAGTCTGTTCAAAGTAAGGCAAGAGGAGACGGGAAGAAACTGAGAGAGGAATTAAACTTCAATTCTCTTATCATTTGGGAAAAGAGAAGTATGAAGCATATATATTTTTTTTACCAGCGTATGGCCATTTCTACTTCTAATAATTTATAGGATCTTGCTGCATCATCCAACCATTGATATCAGTAATGAAGAGAAACTTTCTATCGCCACAGAGCTGCCCAGGTGAGTCTATAAGAAGCTATACATCACTCATAAGGGGAGGTTTATTTCATTCTGCCCTTCTTCGGTTAATGTGAAAGTCCAGTAGAGGTGATGGGATCTCAATGAACTAATAAATATGTTCTGAAACAGCAGATATCCTGTAGGCTGGATGCATGAAAAGTGGGGCCAGTTCCAGTTAGCTACACTCTAAGCTGATGTAATAATCTAGTTACTTATGTATTTAGCCAAGAAAATAAATAAACAGATCATCGATCACACCAATAAGAATTTCATTTCAGGCATAAATGACCAGGCTCAAATTTTCTTATTTTGGACACATGCAAAGACCTAGTTTATTTTAGAGACAGCTGTAATGCTAAGAAAAAATGGAAGAAAAAAATATCACTGAGTGGGTGGACTCAGTTACAGTGGCAATGAGTTTACTGTTGGAACACCATAAAATCAAATCAGAGACAGGTCATTACAGAGAAAATATATATCGTTGAGAAGATCTGGAACCAACTTGATGGTAATCAATTTATTAATTTATATGGCATAAAAAATGGCATAACTCATAGAAGTTTACAAGTATATGAAACGCAACATAGTGTTCCCTCCAATGAACCAGAGGTTTTATCAAAATGACAAAATGTGCATTATGATATTACAATGTTTTTCCCTTATGTGCTTGTGTATGATATCTCAATGCAATATGAAAGAGTGAAGTTACTTATTTCAGTTCTATAATACAGTTGAGTAATAGGAAATAGGATTACAGTTGAGTAATAGGAAAATGTATTTTTATTACATGGAAAGGTACAGGTAGTCCTCAATTTATGACCACGATGGAGTTCAAAATTTCTGTTATTAAGTGAGACATTTGTTAAGTCGGTTTTGCCCTATTTTAGACCTTTCATGCCACAGTTGTTAAGTGAATCACTCCAGTTTAGAAAAGTTTAAAAAAGGGCAAAACCCATTTAACAAATGTCTCACTTAATAACAGAAATTTTGGGCTTCATTGTGGTCGTAAGTAACCCAGTTGTTAAGTGAATCTGGCTTCCCCACTGACTTTGCTTGTCAGAAGTTGCAAAAGGAAATCACATGTCCTTGGGACACAGCAATGGTCATAAGTATGAACCAGTTGCCAAGCATCTGGAGATGCTGCAAAGGTCAGAGCTGTGAAAAATTGTCGCAAGTCACCTTTTTCAGTGCTGTTGTAACTTTGAATGGCCACTAAATGAACTTGTATGTCGAGGACTACCTGGTAGATTTTCCGGTAGATTAGGATGTTTTTTTTTAAACAATAGAGTGTACATTATTATAGATCAAAGCCATGACCCGGCTCTATTAAATTTTTAAAGTAGTAATAATAGTATATGTATACCAGAGCTGTCAAAGGATCACTGCTTGTGAGAACTCGCTTCGTGATAGGTGATGAAAATGGAACTTCTGCAAACGCCTACAAATATTGCATTAAAACGCCTATTTTAAAAATGCCACTTCTGATTTTAAAAAAATTGAAGGGGGTATTTATGTGATTTGGAAGTCCCACTATATTTCACTCCCTGCCTCAATATTTGCCCCTATTAAAAGAAAGAAAAAATTCATTTACGTTAAGTCCACATGGGATCTTCATATATTTGGAGTTCGGTGCGCTGAATTGAACCCTCATAGTTGGTTCTTTTGATGTCTGCTCAAAGAGGCAGGAAAAGAAACCCTGAAAGATGCGGTTGTGTGAAAAGGACCCATCTCCACTGCTCTCCTTCCCTAAATGACCAGATCACGAAAAGTCCGACTGGGGAAAACGAGGTCATTGCTTGGGAGGGAATGGAATTTCCGCTCTTCGCTGACCACGCCCCAACCCCTAGCAGGGGGCGGGCACTACTACTAGGATGGGCGTAATGGGGCAACCGCACAGGTAAACGGATTGCCCAATCAGAGGCCCTGTAAGGAAACGGGTTAGGCGGACAACGCGCACTTTTATTTAAAGCGACACCACGTCTTACTAGAAAAGAGCAGGGCCACGCCTCCTCCATTCCGCTTGCGCCAATCAGCCTCCGAGGGATCGCTGTCTCCCGAGCGTGCCTGTGTTTGGAGCCAGGGGAGCGGCGTCGGCGGCCGCTGCTTCGCGAAAGGGAGGGGCTACCTGACAGGAGCGGCGGCGCGAGGCCAGCCGGCGCCGAGCCAATTGCGACACGAGAGGCACCGGCGGGCGGGTCGGACGGCTGCGCTTGACGAAGGATTGGGGAGGTGGTGTTGGGTGTGGGGGGGGGGGGGGGGGGGAGGGGGCGCCCGAGCGCCGGCGAGGCAGCGCCCTGAGAGGTGGCCGGGCCGGGCTCGGTCTCCTAGCGGCGAGAGGACGGGGGGGACGACGACGACGACGACGACGCCGGGAAGAACCGGGAGGAAAGAGCGGAGGACCGAGGCGGGAAGGATGGCGACGATGTCTCTCCAGTCCGCAGCCGCCTCCTCGTCTTCAGAGACTCGGAAGTTCACGCGGGCGCTCAGCAAGCCGGGCACAGCCGCCGAGTTGCGGCAAAGCGTCTCCGAAGTGGTGCGGGGTTCGGTTCTTGTGGTGAGTGGCGGCGGAACCCGGGAAGGTCCCTGGAGCGGAGCGGGTGGTTTTCTTACCTCCGGTGGGTTTTGCGCCCCTCCTCCCTCGCTTGCTTGGGACGGGGATGGTGGGGGGGGGGGAGAAGGACAGCAGCCCCCCCCGAGTTGCTCATCCCAGCCCTGTCCCGTTTGGAGAAGGGTGGCCAGACCCTCCGCCCTCCCCGCGGGTCTGTCTGAAAGCGGGCAAGGTTCACCCGTATACCGCCCCGTCGGTGCCCCTGGTTGTTCCCTTCAGACGTGTCTCCACGCGCCTCTGTCCTGGGAAGCGTGTCTAAGCATCGCTCTACCAGGAAGGAGGAAAGGCACAGCCAAGGCGCTCAGTTTGGATCTCGCTTCTCCCCGTCCCGACGAATGGCAAGATCCCTTTTCGAACCGAGTCGCCGTGCTGGAATTCCCAAGTGCTGGTTCGGGGGAAAAAAATAAAATAAAAATAAAAAGCTCCGCTCGGGGGAGATGAGTTACCACCGCCTTGCTTCCGGCTCGGTTTTCCCCACCTTTGGTTTGTCTTTTTCCCTCCCGATCCGCGGAGACCTGCTTCCCGTTCTCCGAATCCGTCTGTTTCCCGTTCGCTGCTTCGAAATACTGAATACACAGGAACGGGAAGGAGGGGAGGGGAAAGGGGGGGGGGGGCGATCCCTTCCCATCTGCAGCAGCTGGCTCCAGACGTTCGGGTTTTCCCTTTTCTGTAAAAACTTCCGTCCATTCACAAGGAGACCCGCCTTCGTTTCCTTCCCGCGATATCTATGAATGAATGAGTGGTTGGAAAAGTTGGGAGGGAAGAGGATTCCAGGAGTTTAGGGGCAGGGGGGAAAAAAAGGTAGCTGTCACAAAAACACCTTCAGCGGTTGCTTTGGAAAAATAATAATAAAGCACTAAATCTTTTAAGTTTTAAGCTTCTATGCTCAGAATAGAATAGGAATAGAATGAAAGAGAAATAGAAATGTTTATTGGCAAAGTGTGATAAGACACACAAGGAATTTGTCTCCAGGGCACCAGCTCACAGTGTGTATATAAACAGCAAGTCATAGTTACAATCATTAATCATAAGTTACAAACAACAATTGATAAATCATAAGAAACCAGTAGGAGAAGATAGTATTTATTTATTATTTATTTATTACATGTATTTATATGCCGCCATTCTCCCGAAGGACTCAGGGCGGCGAACACAAGTTAAGAAACAAGTACAATAAAATCTCATTTTAATCCAAATAATTAATCAATAGTAAATAATAAAACCCGGAATCAGAGTCAGCCTATTTGTTTGAACAGCCAAGTCTTCAAGTCTGGACGTACAATAGGAAAGATGACAAGATGAAAAATAGGAGGGGATATCCAACCTAGTATTGTATTTTCTCTTTAATCCAATTTTTTTTTTTACTGTCTTCTCTGTTTTATTTTTATTTTGTTACCAACTGAAATGTTTCATGGACCTTTTGTAACAAGGTTAGAGGTTTTAGACGGTTTGTCTTTAAAAAGTTGGCAGGACCAGAAGAAAGAAGCTGGTAGAATGATGACAAATGTGAGAGTGAAATCTTGATACATTAACATGTCAGTTTAAATCAAGCAATTCAAACAGAGTTAGTGTTTTATTCTTTTTCTGTGGGAATGAGTATGTATTGTAAGTAGGCTGTCCTGAGACTGCAGGTTATAGATCTTTGACATACAAGAAATTAAATACCACTCTGACAGCTTTGATTGTCTCCAGCTCTTTTTCCTACAATGTGATGATGTTCAAAGAGCTGCTTGCTCATTTTCACCCATATAAGTTAAGGATAAATCTGTATCTAGAGTAATACATGGAGACTGTGAGTTTTTGTCTTGCCTTAGGCACAAAGCCAACTAGGTGACCTTGGGCCAGTCACTGTCCCTCAGCTCTGGGAAGCAGGCAGTGGCAAAATCTTGCCAAGAAAACTTGTCCAGGTACTTGTCCAGGTACTTGCCAGAAGTCAAAGGCACACATAGAAAAGTACAATACAGTAGAAGCTATTCATGATTGGGTAAATCATAGAATTTGATGGTGATATTAAAGAATCTTACGAATGAAGGCAAATGTACATGTCCCAGAATAAAGAATCTTACTCCCTTGTGATGAGTGGTGAAAGAAACCATGAACACTTGATATAGTTCTAGCCCTTAAAAATAGAAATTTAATTACTTTGAATTTTGGAGACTGTTAATTCTAGTCTTTCTTTAGGCATGGAAAGTAGCTCAGTGACTTTGGAGAAAATAAGAGTGTCTCTATCTCTCATCCCAACCCACTCACTTGATGTGGGGGCAAATAGAAGAAAGGATTATGTACTCAATAACAGCTGACCCTGACTTTATAGTTCATAATTTTAACTCAAGATAGGATATAAATCAAATAGTTTTCAGCTCATTAGGTAATTTCTATATGTAGTAATTCAGGTATGATAGGCATTGCTGCAGATATATTAAAGATAAATGGATAATTTTCTAATTGAGACTGCAGACTTGGAATAATTTTATTAAGAGTACTTAAGGACAGATATATTACATGATTGTGTTTTTGATTATTGCAAGTTGCAGGTTATTTTATATTGTCTCTTACTTTTCTTGGTAAAAAGTTCAAATTATGCAGCACTGGTTCCTTCAAAATGTTTTAGGATTAAATCTCTTATGGATCTTAGTGCTGATACGGTTGGTCATATTGGTTTCAACCTTTGTAAGTTGAGAGTAACCTAGTCAGTAATGATTTGGTTGTATATTTCTATTACACTGATATAGTTTAGCATTGTTTACATCTTGGCTATGTGTCTATATGTTGTGTGTATTTCCACTTGGTGGGACTCACATAGTGGTATTGTCTTTTACAGTCTCCAGATTAGAAATCCTAGCTTGCAGACAAGAATGTGAGTATGCTTGGAACAGGAAGGAAGGAAAAATGCATTTCTATGAAATTTAGGGAAACTAAAAGGGTGTAACAGAGCTAAATGGAGATGGTCTGATCTTGTGAAGTTGATGAATATATTCAAGAAAGTAAAGATGTAGGTTTAATTAGGAATGATTGGTGACTATTGCTTGCCATTTGTCATACTAGAAGAATGAATTTTGGTTAAAACTATAACATTCTGCATAAAAGTGATCTGAGGAAACTTACTTTGCTAAGTAACATGAATAAATAGGAATGAATAGAGAGTTACAAAAATCAATTAAGTGATTTGGCAATGCAAGGATGAATGTTAATTTGTGAGTGTTTGATGAATCTTTAGAAAAATATTATTCTAAATGCATGATTTAAGATAATTCCTTTCATGCTTACACATGGAAAAGAAATGAATAGAAAATCATGGCTAAGAGAAATAGTGGTAGAGCAGTGATTCATGATTCTGAAGGTAGATTATAGTATCAAAAGTAGATCTTGATGAAAAATAGGTGTGTAAGAAAAATAGCATTTTTTCTTTATGAAAAATTATTACAAGATAGATTAGTTTCCCAGTTGAAAAAAATGGAAAGTTATCACAAGGAAAGAAGGCATAAAACAGAACAGAATTATGTTTCAGAGTACCACATAAAAGTATATGGAGTTATGATAAAGTGGAATATGAAAAATAATGCTTGGTGGAATGACCAAGTGAAAGAGACTGTGAATTAAAAAATGCATTTAAAAAATCTAGAATGTAGAGAGGGAAGATAGTTGTAGAAGATATAAAGAGAGAACAAAAAAGTAGTAGAGGGAATACACAACAAGTTCCCTAAAAGTTTGTTTTGAAAATGAGAAAAAAATAAGGAGCCTCCAGCAGCATTACTGGATCAAATTATCTGAGATGAAAATGAAGTCAGAAGTTGCCAGAAGGAATATATACGTGATTTGCATAGAAATGTTAGTGGAATTGAAGAGCAGGTTTGAAGACAATGCTAGAAATGTTAGCATCCATGAGAAAAATAATGAAGTCATAAATCCTATGCAAATGTTGTAAAATGGTAAGACTGCAGCTATAACTGAAAACATATTAAAATATGGCTGTTTTTTGCTTACGGAATGACTCTGCTTATCATATGTTTAGATCTGTACATTATGATAGAAGACTTGTACTTGGGGTTATCTTGGTTTAGGGTAAGCAATACAAGTAGAGGTTGCATTTTTTATATTTTATCCAAATAAATTCTTAAGAATTGTTATTATTGTTCTATTACATTAAGATCAAGATAGTAAATAAATTAGGTTTTTTTTTGCTGTGCCAGGGAAATTTTTTATTAAAGGGGTATAGGAGGTATCAGTAAGCAGAATGTTGGAAGTGTTTAGCTTTGAGTTGGGCAAGATATGTGCAGGTCAGATTTTTGTTCTTTGGAGATCACTGAAAATTGTATACATTTGAAAAAGAAATCTATTATATATTTATTGATTGTGGAAAGCATATGATAAAGTAAATAGGATTGAATTATTGAATTCAATAATTCAATGGATATGTTTAGTGAATATTTGAAGGTTGGTTCCTGAGTGCAACACAAGGAGTATGATTTTGAGGTATAACTGGTGTGAGATTAAATTGAGTGCCTAGCAAATGTGTTGAACATGGAATAAAACAAAAATGAGTGTTATTTACCTGATTGTTTAATATTTTTAGATTACAT